AAAGGGAACCAGCATTTAGCGTAATGGCTATGTCGCTGGATTCCCACGTAGTCGACCGCGGTTTGCGTCCCGGACCCGGTGGCTTAGAACTCAACGCCGGGCGCGTGTGGTGCGCGCCCAAGATCCCGAGAGGAGAATGGAGGAGAAGGGATTGCAGCTTGATCATCCCCCTTGGGGGGTGGTTTCTCGCTTTCTGTCTCTCTGTCTTTTGTCTTTCTCTGTCTAGCGAGTGCATGTGCCCTATAGCGAAAAAAACCTCTCAAAAAAAAAAAAAAAAAAAAACTTCCCATGGTGTAAATAATGCTAGTAAACACATTTGCATTATCTTCTGCAGGATGTTTGCCTTATTAACAACAAGATGTCTCCAAATTAACAGTTTAAAATGATATGAAAATGTAATTAAAGCATAAATACATCTGGGCTTAGTAATGGTAGCAGACTTTAGCTGATGCTGCTTCTTGACAGTCTGAAATCACAAGGGGGACCTGGGTTTGAGTCCCAACTCAACTCTAAAAAGCCTGGTCGGTAATGTACACTGTCATCCCAGCTACTCAGGGGGAAGAGTTGGAGGATCCCAACATAGGAGACCCTGTCCTAAAAAAATGAGGAAAAATAAAAACTAAGAAAGTTAAGTATATCTAGTGCCGGGGTCCAGCCTCGGCGTGGGTGGGTTATCTCGACCAAGGCGGCGAAGGTGAACAGAAGGCAGAGGCCTCGATGCCTTTTCACGCACGTCCTATGCCGGACACCCCTCAAAGATCGCCCTCTGAGGAGTGACAACTGCTAGGAATTATCGTGCGTTTTTATTGAAAATGTGTTACATACAAGTAAATGGGAGAGGGGCTACGTGTTTCAATTATCAGCTCATAAAGTCTTTTAACAATAAAACATAGATTCTATTCAGGGGTGGATTAAAGGTGGGTCTAGTGCAGTTCCTATTCAGGGGTGGATTAAGGGTGGGTCTAGTGCAGTTCCTCAATTGTAGGTGGGTCTCCATGTAAGCAGAGATGATTATCAGCTGATGCGGCGTAGCAGCCATCTTGTGATTACTGGGAATGGTGCAGAGAAAAGAAAATCTCAAGAATAGATATTAGTTTTTATGGGTTTAATAAAGAATGATACTTATACAGTTTTGCAGGGATCTAAAACTTAATCTGAGGAATCCTAATATATTTATCTATTTCACTTGGAGAGGGCGGAGGTGTCCTGGGCCAGTTTTGCCCTAATCTTATTTTAGGTAAAGAAAGGATTAAGTTTACCTTAAATGTATTTTGAAGGGCCTTCCAAAGGTCAAGATTACTTCTGCCTAGAAAGAACTTCAGCCCACCCTCTATTGTGACCATGGAGATAAAGCATTGTAATTAATAGTAAGTGATCAGAGCAAAGGGGAGCGGTCGGGGGACTTCCTGGAAGATTTTATCGTACACTCAGGATGTATAGGAGAGCTATGTAATTCTTTTATAGTAGTATATTGGGGAGCCAGAGGGGGGTCGCTTCCCAGTAAGGCTGCCAGTTTCTGGAGCAAATAGCAAACAGCCTTGCTGACATGCTAACTGACCCAAGCTTTGTTCCAAGGTGTGGGGGGGCGCGCACAACAGTAGCCTTGCCAACGTGTTGATCAGACTGGAAGCGGAGCTCAAAGGTCGGGGGGCTCAGACAGATCCTGGGGACTAGCTGGGTTGGACTCCTCCAATCTAGTTTATCGAAAGACAGTTTTGAGTGCCACGATTTCTATGTTTTTGTAAAGTATTATTGTCTCCTACAGGATTAGAGAAAAAATGATTCAGAAAGACAGCTTGTCTATACTCAATATTGGAGAAACATTTCCTGCCCATTTCTTCTTCTCCAAGATGATCGCTCATGCTTTACCCTTTCAAAATGACTGCAAATCTCTTCTTAAAAAACACTACTTATTATCAAGGGTCCCCAAAATAAGATCTTGCCATTTTACTCTTTGATTGTTTTCTGACCCTTTAAATGAGCTTTTAATGATTGATTTCCTTTGAAAAATGTGGACATCTGTATCACCACAGCCATTTTCCCCGGAACTTCTAAAGGAAGTGAGTCTCCAAACATGCTCCTTCCTCAGTCTATTTGAATCCACTCCATTGTTTTCCTCTGGTGTCTTACCTAGATTGCATTGATTCATTTTTTGTATATTTCTACTTGTGTAACTTTCTCTTTTAAGTACCACTCTTTTGTGTTGTCTGCAGGCTTTTACATAAGCTTTTAGTACTACTGATCTACCCAAGAGCTCACTTGGAAGGGATGGCCTTAAAACTGTGTAGCCCTGACCCATGTCTTTAACTTTTTTTTAGAGGCTACAGGGGACATTGTTTCCATCTTTAACGTAATCACTATATTTTACTGCCATAGGCTTAGGGTAGGATAAGATTTGATTTCCATATCACATGCCCCTAATTTTTCCTCAGTAAAGGTTTATAAGCCAAATGTAAACTTCTGGGAAAACATTCTGAATAATCAGAAGACACGAAATTAGATATTTTCTTTAGAAATGAGCCTAAAAATATTTAGAGTAGCTATCTAAAGAATTGGAAGACAATCCTAGTGGATCTAGAAAGATAAACTTG